AGTGGGAAATGTGTTAGGTGAGAAATAGTTGGATTGTGTTTGGAGAAGACATCTGCTGTTAGAGAGACTTGGATACAGATAGTGGGAAATGTGTTAGGTGAGAAATAGTTGGATTGTGTTTGGAGAAGACATCTGCTATTAAAGAGACTTGGATAATGAAAGAAATTGGCATGGTGAGAAACAGTTGGGTTGTTGTTTTGATCAAAAAACTTATACAAAATAGAAAGAAAAGCAAGAAAATGTGTTATATAAAATGTTGAAACCCTGATAAGTCTTTTCTCATAAAGGGATTTATTTATTTGTTTATCAATTCATTAATATATTTAAAAATACAGAAGCTAACAAAATGATAGCTACCTTACATCCTTCACTACTCCAAATTTCTTTCTGCTCATCCCAGAACAGACAGGCACTGGAGTGGACTGTGACCAGAAGCTGGACACTGTCATTAACATCTAGGTACCCTGTGTATTGTAACATAGTAATAATTGTTAATTAACATCCCAGAACAGACAGGCACTGGAGTGGACTGTGACCAGAATTAGGACACTGTCATTAACATCTAGGTACCCTGTGTATTGTAACATAGTAATAATTGTTAATTAACATCCCAGAAAAGACAGGCACTGGAGTGGACTGTAACCAGAAGTTGGAGAGACTCTGGTGAGGATATCCTTCAGACCAAGTGTACAATTAACTTAAAAACTCAAATCACAGTATACACTGTAACTGAATATAGAAAACAAAGAATTGGTCACATTCAAGACAGAAATCAAATAAAAAAATTCATTGTAATGTCCATACTCACTGTTCCCAGAATCACTGGTATTCAATAAAGTGATCCCCATGTAATAAACAGTGTTTTCCTCAGTGGTTTTATTTTCTGGGATAAACAAAACATAGCCACTGGCACTTTGGTTGCCATGACGATAACGCATCTCTTCGGGAATGGGGATAAGTGTAGTGCTGTGTAAGATCTAGAATATCAATCAATTAGAAACAAAGTGTCTATACATTGAAATCAAGTACCTACAAAAGTATGAAGTACTAAATTCAACACCTGACCATTTGCATTACTACAGGAAAAATATTTCTGTTTGAAAAATATTTTAAATGTGTGATTAATATCAAAACTGTTCTATTTTGTCACATATGTACAGAAAAGCACCTATATAGCAGCATACCTCTTCCTTGCTAGGCCTGGCATTGGCTTTCNCCTAGAAAGAATAATACTACTACCAAAAACAATAGCATTCCCCTATGGGGAATCCTAAATATGTCACAGCCATAAAGATACTGCTGCAACCATAAAATATGTCACAACCATAAATACCACAACAAACATGTTCAAAATATTTCAAATACAGCAAATACAATGAAGCAATAAATGAAGCAATACAACATTATAATTGTATCAAACATAAAAACACAACCAATCATTTTCAAGCCACCTGCAACAATATTACTTATTAACTCTTGTTACTTATTATTCTTATGTAAAACAAAAAATAAATACATTGGTGAAAACAAAAATTAAGCAGACCTGGTATTGGTCTTCAGGGTCATCAGTTGGGATGCCATAAAACATGATATTGGTCAGCATGGTGGTCAGTAGAAGGGTCAGAGCACAGGTCAGTCTCTGGGTTCTTGTGAAGGGACAATTTGGTGGACAAGAGAACACACTGACCCACAGATGTTTTTCCCTCATGCTGAAGCCACTGTTACTGGAGAACAGGTATGAGAAATCCTTCATCTCCTCCACTGAGGCAGGGCGCAGTGTGCGCTGGATGCAGAAGTCGTCCAGGTCCAGAGCAAGCCAGCGGTTACACAGGAAGTCACACACCTCATTTTTCTGCAGGTCCCTCACTGTCAACTTCTCCAGAAACCAGGCAGGAGCAGCTCCAGAGTTGTCGTGCCAGATGGTGACAGAGACGAGGTCACCCAGGCACTGGGCACAGGTCAGTAGGAAACTGTCCACGCCACCACTCTCAAATACTGGACGTCTGGGATCACTTAGGACATGACAGTCACTTTCACCATCTTCACCTTTAAAATGGAAAATAAAAATTGCAAACAAGAAATAACAATAAAAGTTTAAATGGGAATGGAATTTTTTTAAGTTCAGGATTAAAATTCACATTTTATAAACAAAAACCCTTCAGCTGTGGTCTCTGTCAGTGACCGGGTAGACATAGTTACCTGTGATAAAACAACCCACGTTAGCTGTGGTTCCTGCCCCTGTCCTCCAGCCAGTGATGACAGTAATTAGGTAGCCATATTTGTGCTCTGGATCATTGTCTTCTAACACTGTCACTCCAACCTGGAGACATGGAAACAACTGTTGCTAGCAATTTCATTCACAACAGTGGAGTAAAAAAAGCTTGTAATTGATTTGAGCTAAAAGTATTTCTTGTAGTGCTTTGTCATATTTTTAACTCATTTCGTAAATAAATGCTACAGGAATGCCAAATTCAATTGCAGTATTACCAAAAAAAGTATATAGAATTGCCTGTAAATCTACTTGGCAAAGCCTGGAGTGCTTAAAGGGATAATAACTCTTCGTTTTGGCCAAAAAATGAATTTTCCTGGAGTAAACAACAATTTTCCCATACTTACCAATGGTTAATGAATCCATTTTTACATTCAAAGTTAGTCCCTGGGTTTTTTCTAAAAAGTTTGGTTTTTTGTTAAAATCTCTTAAGGTCACGTGATCTAAAGACAAACTCAGATAGCAGAATAATAGCTATAACTGCCATTTTTGTGGTAAAACAGAATATATTATATTTCTATGAGTTATTCACAATGTTTTTATTGTGAAATATAGATCTCCTTCGAAGAGTTATTATCCCTCTAACCCCCTTTTTTTTACCACATATTTCACGATTCAAACAATTTAAAAACAGTTTATTTTGAAATTCACTTAGTGATGGTTAACTCCAATTTCAATCCCAAGAAATCTTGAACATCAGAAACAAAGTTCTCTCACCTTAAGAAGGTCTTCCCTGTCCTTCTTGTGTGCCCAGATAACAACTGCCAGGTAGATGCCCCATACACACAGCACAATGTTCACCACCAATGGGTTCTCCAGTAAAGTCAAGAACAGAGCAGAGTCTGCCACAATATCAATGGCATTAGGCAGAATAAAGAAACTGCCAGAAAACACAGTCATGTGATGACAGATACAGTGTAACGTAACAGCTGTGCTGAGAGGAGAAACCTGGAAACAGAAAGTGGGAAATGTGCTAGGTGAGAAATAGTTGGATTGTGTTTGGAGAAAACACCTGCTGTTAGAGAGACTTGGATACAGAAATTTGGAAATGTGTTAGGTGAGAAATAGTTGGATTGTGTTTGGAGTAGACATCTGCTACTGAAAGAGACCTGGATAATGAAAGAAATTGGCAAGGTGAGAAACAGTTTGATTGTTTTTTGATCAAAAACTTTTACAAAATATGCAAGAAAATGTGTTATACAAAATGTTGAAATGCTGATAAGTGTTTTCCCATTAAGGGATTTATTTATTTGTTTATCAATTCATTATTATATTTAAAAATAAAGAAGCTAACAAAATGATAGCTACCTTACATCCTTCACTACTCCAGATTTCTTTCTGCTCATCCCAGAAGAGACAGGCACTGGAATGGACTGTGACCAGAAGTTGGACACTCTCATTAACATCAAGGTGCCCTGTGGTATTGTAACATAGTAATAATTGTTAATTAACATCCCAGAACAGACAGACACTGGAGTGGACTGTGACAAGAAGTTGGACACTCTCATTAACATCAAGGTGCCCTATGTATTGTAACAGTAATAATTGTTAGTTAATATCGCAGAACAGACTGTGACCAGAAGTTGGAGACTCTCTGGTGAGGGTACACTCCAGACCAAGTGTACAATTAACTTAAAAAACTTAAATCACTGTATTATAACTGAATATAGAAAACAAAGAATTGGCCACATTCATTGACAGAAATCTAATTAAAAAATTCATTGTAATGTCCATACTCACTGTTCCCAGAATCACTGGTATTAAATAAAGTGATCCCCATGTAATAAACAGTGTCTGCCTCAGTGGTTTCATTTTCTGGGACAAACAAAACATAGCCACTGGCACTTTGATTGCCATGACGATAACGCATCTCTTCGGGAACAGGGATAACTGTAGTGCTGTTTAAGATCTGGGAAATTAATCAATTAGAAACAATTAAAGTGTCTGTACATTAAAATCAAGTACCTACATAAGTATGAAGTACTAAATTCAACAATTGATCATTTGCATTACTACAGGAAGAATATTTCTGTGTGAAAAATATTTAAAATGTGTGATTAATATCAAAACTGTTCTTTTTTGTCACATATGTACAGAAAAGCACCCATTTAGCAGCATACCTCTTCTTTGCTGGGCCTGGCATTGGCTTTTAGGTAAACTTGCAGGGTGGCATTATTGTCTGCTGGCCAGATGGTGATCTGATGTGATTTGTTGGTCTCAGCATCAAACTTGAAGTAAATAACATCCTCCACGTTTACATTAGTCCCTCCTTCAAGGTGGAGGGTGGTGATATCACAGTTCACGTCAGCCTCTGGAATCAAGGATTGATGTTGAACACTGTTCATGAAAATATCAAGTTTTTTTAAATCTTTTTCATGGTTTTGTTCAAATCTCAGGTACACTTGTTCTCAACTCAAGCTGTCAGCAAACTTGCTAGCAGTATTTGGACATTCATGTCCTGTTAACTCTAAATGGATCACTTAGCAGCATGTCAGTTCATGTTTTCTATAAATAGCATGGAAATGTTTGTTTAAAGCATTTTGACAGAAAGTAAAGTAAATCTGAGATTTAGCAACAAAGACCAATGTCAAGAGTGCAAT